AAAAAATAGTCCAGTATTCCATAATAGTATTGGGTCTTCCACTTGACTGGCCATGTCAGAAGTTGTTGACCTGAGTCCCCTACAGTTCAACATAACAACATGGCTTTATTTCTTGTACTTCATTTTTATACTTTCCTGCTAGATGGTTAAGACTAAGATAAAGCAGGATCTATGTAACAAGAATTGTAGGGTTTGGATCTGATAAGGTCAGTCAAATCCCCTCAGGCTTTATCCTGAGACCCTGTACCTCAGATTGTAGATCCTTTTTCAGTGTCAGCCATGTGGATGAGTCATGGCCATTGCTTGGGCAATTTGCTCTCTGTGAAAGCCTGAGAGAATGTTTTCTCTCCATGTGACTCTCCTTAGGCACACTCTACATCATCAATCACTTTCCTCTTTAGCCCCGTAATCTCCTTGATCAGAAAATTTGGGAACTGAGTTACATGATGTTACAGTACAAGTTCTCATATGTCCTGAGTCTTAAGTGACCTTGGAAGGCTAGGGCCAAAATGTTGGCTTTCCTTGTAGCCCTCCTTTTTCTCTAATTTTGGTCTGCAAACTTAGGTTGTTAACCCTCCAGAAGAGAAACTTACTGTTATTGCCTTATAACCTTGGCTGTTGAGTATTTATTTATTTATTTATTTATTTATTTATTTGGTACAGAGTCTTACTATGCAGCTCAGATTTGCAGTAATCCTCCTATCTCAGCCTCCCCAGCACTGGGATTACAGGTGTGTGCCACCATGCTGAGTTCTGGGGCTAGCATGGTACATTGTACTGGGGGTTGGACCTGGGTCCTTGCGCTTGCCAGACAGGCACTTAGACCCCCTAGCTATCTCCCCAGCCCAACAAGAACATTTCATATACTCATGTTCAAAACCAGACAGTGGAGCACACCTATAATCCCAGTCCTACAGGAAGCTGAGTGATGACAATGGCAAGTTCAAGTCTGGATAGGGCAATGTAGATCCACTCTCAAAAACTGAAAAGGGGTGAGGATGTAGCTCAGTGTAAAGGCCTTGGGCCCAGTCCCAGCATTCCTTCCCTCCCCAGCCGAACAGATGTATGCTTTAACTTGGGAGGCAGGAGCAAATGGGTATCCTCTACCCACAAGGTCTGTCCCTGTCTGTCTGGAAAGTAAATTTCCAGTACTTCAGGTGGCTCAAAAACTCCTAGATTTCTCTCCTCTCTTACAATAAAGATACTTATTAAGTTTTAGAAAAGAGTCAAACTCAGGGCCAGGGAGATGACTCAGTGGAATAAGTACTTCCCTAGCAAGCGCAATGGTCTGAGTTCAATCCCCGATTCTGAAAAAAAAAAAAAAAAAAAAGAGTCAAACTCTACTCAGAGCATATAGGATATTAATGTGGGCTTAAGAAGAAAATGTGTGGGGCTGGAGAGATGGCTCAGTGGTCTAAAGCACCTACTTGAAACAAGCTTGGCAAAGCACAGGGACCGCGGTTCGACCCCCTGGTGGGCTGAGCTGGCCACACACACACACACAATAAATAAATGTAATAAATAAAAAAAAATTTAAAAAAAAATAAAAAAAAAAAAGAAGAAAATGTGATTTCTCAAATTCAGCTAGTTATTCTTCCTTGTAAGTGCTGAGTTTATCTTGTGGGATCTAGAGGCCAACACCAGAATTGACCAGAAATCAGTGACAGATCATCAGTAGGCCTGCTACAAGACGGGCAAAGTCATTCAAATTGCTGAGAGGCACTCTGGTAGCTGAGCAGAAAGGAGAGGGATGGGTCAGACTGTCACAAATCATAGGCAGGAGGACACTGGAAACATTGAGCAGGTGGTGGGGCACCCCTGAAGTCAGGCTGGAGCAGGTTGAAGCAGGAGAAGAAGAGGGTGATATCAGAGGTGAGCTGGCAGACACTTGGGGCTGCATGAGTATGTTCAGGGGTGTAAAGAGGAAGAGGGAGGAGACTGCAGTGTTATTCACATTTCTGACTCCAGCATGGAATGTCATAAAAAAGCAATCCCATATACGCACTGCTACGTTATTTGTGCTTCAGCGCTTCATGCACCTGGAACTTGGTGCTCAGGGTAGCGATATTGGGAGCAGGACCTTTAAGAGTTGAGGCTAATTATGGAGAAAAAAAAAAAAAGAGCTGAGGCTTAGTGGGACGTCCTTGGGCCTGTAGCATGCCCAAGGGAGGGAATTGTCCATAGCCCTGAGATGGAGAAAGCTGGTATCTGGCAATAGAAAAAGTACTGAATGTGAGATATTCCCTTTGTAGTTAGAGCACAGGCCCTCAACACGGGCTGCAAGTGGAAAGCATTAAAAGTTTAAAATATACTATGCACAGGCTCAGCCCAATTGAATCAGAGCCTCTGAGTTTGTTTTTGATTGTTGGATCTTTGGCTTTTGTAGATAGGGTCTATGTATTCCACGCTGGTCTTGAACATATTATGTAGCCCAGGCTGTCCTTGAACTTGCAGTGATCTTCCAGCCTCTGCCTCTCAAGTGCTGCAGGGATAGGTGTGTGCCACCAGGCCTGCTTGAAAAATGAATACAGTTGAGTCTATCAAAATCAGCATATGAAATTGTCATCATACCAAAGCACAGTAGCTGATTGTGTGTGTGTGTGTGTGTGTGTGTGTGTGTGTATTCGTGCATACGTGTGCATGCCTCTATGGTGGTGCGGGGTGTTGCCCTCAAGACCTGCACATCAAGCTCCATCTTCAGCCCCTTTTAATTTTTATTTTGATACAGGGTCTCTGAGTTGCTAAGTTGCTCAGGATAGCCTTGAACTTTCAGTCCTGCCTCAGCCACCCAGGGTTATGGGGTTACAGGCATACACCACCATGCCTCACTAGAAGATAGCTGCTTTTTTTTTTTTTTAAATCATTCAGTTTTAATGAAATAAAAATGGAGGAACTATGTTTCAGGTTTGCTTCATGTTCATATTTAATTTTTGCTAACTAAAACCACGTTTCTCTCCCCCCCCCCCCAGGGTCTTGCTGTGCAGTTCTTCAGGGCAGCACAGGAGGCATGGTGTCCAGCCCATGAGTTTGCTTTCTGCCTATGGAAGGCAATGGCCCTCACACCGCTGCATGCACCAGTCACACTGGGACACCTGTCACATAGATCCCTGCCCCCCTCCTGGCTCCACATCACTCCCAGGTGTGGCTTAGGAGCCTGCATTTTAGCACATCCCCAGGTGACCCTCACCAAGCGTTTGTAGAACACATGCCCAGAATTTCTGAGAAGCCTGTGGAAGCAGAGCCTGAGGGCTGTCCCTGAAGAGTACATGTAGGGCGTGGCTTCTCTTAATCTCTGAACAGGCAGGTCTGAAGCAGAGCAGCTTCAGTGTTGGGAATGCCCATCACGGGGGTCTTGGTGAAAAGAAGTGGCCCTCCTCCAAGTTTCCTCTGCATAATGAAAGATGGAAGTGAAGCAGGAAGGGGACTTGGCTTATTTTCTCCTTGTTTCTACTGAAAAGGAAGCTGGGGGTTTTCCTAGGATGCAAGTTGGCAGGAAGTACAGGGGCCAGGATGGAGCCGAGCAGCTGCCTCTGGACTTTCAGAGACCTTCAAATTCAAGAGCAGTCAAATTCACAGTGTTACATGTTAAAATGCAAGTTCTCAGGCCTGGCTGCTCCAAACCACCTAGTGCTTCAAACACTGGGGGACAGGCCCCTAATCTTCTGTCACAAGCCCTCAGGTGACTCTGATGCTCAGTCAGGTTTGAAGGCCCTGGCACCATATGCCCCAGTGCCTCAGTGACTACAGGCTTAGGAAGTTTTCCCCACTCTCCTGATCACCACCCTAGGTTCCTTCTCATGGGAAAAGAAACTACACGACACCTTCCTGCCATCATGACTTGTGGTTGGGAAGACACTGCCACACTTGGAAAAGGGACCCCAGATTCTGGGAGGCCACCATGAGACCCAGGATGCTTTCCTACCTGACCTGGTTTAATTTTTTTGTTGAAGCCTGGGGAGGGTTGCAAGTGGGGCAGGGGTCAGAGGTTTCAGGCTATGGTCAGTGGATTCCACTGCGTCTGGCCCTATGATGAGGCAGAATAGCATGGGGGAGCGTACGGCAAGCAAAGTAGCTCACCTGGGCAGGCAGGAGACAGAGAGAAGAGAGAGGAGGAGAGACAGATTTACAGGAAAGGCCAAGTGAGATAGACCCCAGCACCTGCTCCTGTGACCTTCAACTAGGCCTTGCCTCCCGAGCTTCCCCAACCTTCCAATAATGCTATCAGACTATGAATCTACCAATGTTGATTCCTTGGTGAAGTTAGTGCAGTCATGAACCTAATATGCCTCCCTGGGGCTGGAGTATCACTTTTCTGTCCCTGGGATGAAATGAAAGGAAGCGAGGTTTGTTTTGGCTCATGGTTTTCAGAGAATTCTGTCCATGCTTCCTCAGCTCTGATGAAGACACAGCACAGTGGAAGGGCATGGCAGAAGAATGCCGCTCACCTCGTGGAAGCCACGGAGCAGAGTGAGAAGGGAGGAGCAGGCAGGAGAGACACCACCAAGGTACACACAGGACAATGCTGTCCCTCCAGCCAGGCCCTACCTCCTAACAGCATACAAACTAACTCCTTCATCAAGGAATCACGATCCAGTCACCCTTCAAAAGCCCCACCTCTAAATACATGAAACTTGTGCGACACCCTAGACCTCAACCAGGACAGGGCCCATGCTTCTAATGCATGAAATACTTCATACTGAAGCCATAATAATTCTGTACCAACACAAGACCCCTTTTCAGACAGAATGAAATGCTGGTTCCCACATTTCCAAACACAGGAAAAGGTGGCCAACAGGACAGGATGAGGTTCTGGGCTCTTCCTTCTCCTTTCCTAATTTGGACCTCTCGCAAGCACTTTGATATAAGAGAAAGACCAACCCGCTCTTCCAAGCAGCCACTGGGATCAAGAATAATCCAGAGCTGTGTGGATTCACTGCAGTCTTTAAATTCTAGACAAGCGTTCACAAGCTGGAAACGAAAATATGGGGACTTTCTTGAGTTAAATGAAAAGCACAATGTTATTGTATTTTCTTGTCAAACAATTTTACTTGCGGCAATAACTGAAGCATAATTTAATTCAGCAGGAAATATCACACTTGGAGGAAAAACACAGAAAAAACTCTTAAGTTAAAGCCAAACATTCTTTCCAAGGCACAGCACTGGCATTTTCAGATTGACAGCAGAATGAGTTGTTTCCATGAAACAAAATCACAAGTCCAAAGTCTGCCTTTGAAGCAGTTTCCACTTTGCATTTCTCAGGCTCAGGGAACAATGCTGGTGGCCTTCCTCAGGGCCAGGTAGCCCGTGATGACATCGGAGGGCAGCCTCCGAATGTAGGAAAACTCTTCGATGGTGCTGAACCGCAGCTTGCTCTGTGGGTCTGTGTAGTTCGCCTGGGTGAGAAACAGGCACAGGGAGCGATAGGAAGTTGTTATTGATAGTGCTATTTTAATTGAATTGCAAGTTTAAAATTTTTCTTCTATTTTACTGGAAGTGAAATGTTCATTATGTCTTACTGAACACTGAATTGCTCACTTTGGCAAAGACTTGTTAAGCCTCTAAGACTTGAGAAACACTTCAGGGTACGGACTGGAGGAAGAACCACATCAGACTCAAGCACCCTTCTTTTTGGTGCCTCAACAGCTGTCAGCAACAAGTTCAAGACGGAGTTTATGACGGCCATCCCTCCCTGCCTTCTGACTCCCACCCCCTTCCAACCAATCGCTTGGGGCTGTGTTCCTCAGGGCAGCAGCCAATGCCCCAGTGCATGCTGGGCCTCTCCCTGCTGCAGCCCATCTACGGCCATGCACTCCTCTCTTGGTCAAGCAGGCATATCACCTTCACAGCTCCTGGAGTCAGCCAGCATTACACTGGAAGGGGCTGTCATTTTCTAACTGCAGTCAGGGCCATTTTTGCCACTCGTAATTCTGATCATGTCATCTATAGCATGAAACTTCTCCATATGGCTCCTCTCTGCTTGGGGGACAAACGCCCATGTCCTCACTGTGGGTCCTTAGGCCTGGGCCTCTTTCGTTCTGAGCCACACATCCTTACTCTCCAGTTCTGACTGCCTCACTCTCTAAGTCCTTCCTTCCTGCCAGGCCCATCTGCATTTTCCTTGTTGGGGACCCCAACTCTGTCTGGCCCATGCTGTCCAGTAAATGCCTGTTCATTTTTCTGGGCTCAGCCTGAAAGCTACATCTTTGGAGAAGGCTTCTGTGTTCTCAGGAGGCCCCAATCTGCCCTCCGTTCCTGTAGCACCACGGAGCCCTCCTGCACATTGCACAGCTTTGCTGTGCTGCAGGTCAGTGACTCTGACTATGTTTTAGGCTATGAAGCTTCACACGACAGGGCCGTGTTCTGCTTAGCACTGCAGACCTGGACAGGCCCAGGAGCCTTCCGACAAGTGTTCGTGCAACAGATGAATGGAAGAACGAATGAATGAAAAAGTGAATAGGTGATGAAGACCATCACCAGAAAGAGAATTTGCTTCCTAGATGTATCAAAATTCTCTTTTGTTCTCTGTTTTTTCTATATAGAAGTTGGAAAAAATTTTAGCTACTGTGTATCACTGAGCACATGGCTTCTATAGAACTTGAAAAAGAAAACACACTGGTGAGTAATTTTAAGCTCTTTTAAAAAATTATAAAAGACACCATTAAAGTCTAGACAGATAATGTCCAATTACTCAAGTGTGGCTTGTCTGCTCTGCTGCTGTCTTCTGTGTGGACCCAGATTCTCAGTAATTCTGTGGTTTGTTGAAAGAGAAGAGGCAACAAGCCGGAGAGAACTGAGTCATAGGTTTCTCATGCTCTAAAAAGTTTGTATCCTGCCCCTGGGCAGCTCCCTAATGTATTCAGGAAAGTGGGATTTATTCCTACAAAGCTAAGATTAATCAAAGCTTACTACAAAATCAAACTTAGATCCTTTGGCTTGGTCTAGGTATTACTTTTCTGTACCACATTTCCTTTAATCTGTCATTAAAGATAAGGGAAGGCCTAATTAAGAAAATTAGTGACAAGTCTCTTCTGAGGGAGGATACAGGCTTGGGGGCAGTTGGAATAACTAAGCGGCGGGGAGGCTGCCTGGAAGTTTCGAGCTGAGTGCCCGCACTGCATCTGGCGTGGGGAATCTGGACCTCATGCATGAACCAGCTGCCACCCGGCTATATTCCATGGCTGCCTCACTCCCACCACCACGCTGTGCTGAGCCGGCCAGCCCAAGTGCAGATTTCACTGCCAAGAAAGTTGCTGAATAAACAATGCAGGATCCAGAGATCCTGCGGCACCAAAATACCCCAAACTGGAACCAACCAGACCTGATCCAGGAGCCAGCACCCAGCGCTTTGAACAGAAGAAAGGATGCCATGTTCACTCCAGAGCTGAAGAAATAAAAACTTTAACTCTACAGTGCATTCTTCTCTAGATTCTGTCCCTTCAACCTAGATGAAACAAAGGCCACCACCCTATAGGGCCACCCACAGGCAGCCTTAGGCCTCGCGGTGCCTGCTTCACCTACAGTCCTAACACTGTCCACAAAGAGCTGGGCTTTACTTTCTAATTACATAACTTTAAATTATACAAGTAACGGATGAGTCATGTTCACCTCTAAAAATGTTTGCAACATCACAAATAATTCTAAACTTTCCTTTTACCACCTCCTTACACCCAAAAGCCCCTTGCCTTATGCTGAGGAAACCACTATTATGTGGGCACCCTTCTAGACTTTCAAAATTTATATCTTCACAAATTACAGACCACAGAGAAATTCCTCAAGTGAATTGCTCTGGGAGTGTGTGTGTGTGTGTGTGTGAGTGTGTGTGTGTTTATGTACCGGCACCATACTGTGTACACTACTCTGTATCTTTCTGTCAACAACATAGCTTAGAACTTTATCCACTTTATTAATTAAGTATGCATTCAGCTCACAGAATAATATGAAAATATCGTCGCATATAGACCTTTATGTTGCTTCTAACATTTTGCTACTACAGTATCTCACAAGCATCTCTGTGTAAAGTTCATTCTGCTTCCTGGGGGGAAGGGAGGAGAGGGGCGGCAGGGTCTCCTTATACAGTTTAGGCTAGCCTTAAAATCACTATGTGGCTGGCTTCAAGCTCAAGATGATCCTCCTGGTGGAGTTCTTTGTATGTTTAGAATTTAATTCTCACATGCAATGGGGCAGGAGGGTTTGGTAATGTGGACCATGGCAAGCTGTCTGCTGACAGTACAGAGAGGCCTGCAGTAGTGTCTCTCAACAATACTATTTCACTATTTCACTTCTAACAAGTGAAAACCACAGCACCAGCAGGCCAGATGCCTAAAACGGAGAGAATGACACCAGCATGTGATGGGCCAGCCTCCGTATCCGCCCATAAATCCCAGGATATTATGTAAGGACAGAGGAGGCAAGCCTCATCTGTATAAGTAATATACAGACATATTATAATCTGGGAGCTGCGTTACAGAAGTTGAAGTCACACATTTTCATTAAATCACACAACATTTCAAGGATATATGAGCTGAATGAATAAGTGGCTGCTTCATTCCACAGCTGTGAGAAAAGTTCCATCTTCCAAATTGATAAGAGATGGAGAGAGGATTAAAAAGCAGAGCTGGAAATAATCTTTACAGGTTCTGTACCTGCTCTACACTTTACAAATAAGGACACAGGGCTCTTTGGCTCCTGAGCTTCAGAAAATTGCCCAGGTCCTATTCTTTTAGCTCTGCTAGTGGTTCCCAAACTGTGTTCCCTGGAAGCATTTGAGGGGTCACTTTGGTGGGCATGGGCTATATTCACATAGGACCACCAGGAGTAGCAGACTCAGCCTTTTAGATATGTAGATTCTATAAAACATTTCACTTGGAAAGGGAGTTTTGGTGCTTAAAAATCAGTCTGAAGGGCTGGCCTGATAGCTCAACAGACTAAATGCCTGCTTAGGCAAAGCACAACGGCTGGGGTTCGAGCCCTGGTGTGCCATGACGGCCCTGCCTCTGGGGCACACTAAGACCTCGACTGACACTGGGCATGATGGTGTGAGCCTGTATTCCCAGTGCTTGGGAAGCTGAAAACAGGAGGATCATCACAAGTCCAATTTATATAGTGAGACCCTGTAGACCCGTATCCCCTGTACTAAAAGAAAAAAATCAGACTGAAAGTGACTATCCATGTCACAGTGCCACTGGGCAGATATGTATATATTTTTTGTTTTGCTTGCAGTGGCAGGGATCAAACCCAAGGCCTCAAGTACACGGAGCAGGTGCTCTTCTACTGGGCTATAACCCAACCCTGAATATTTTTTAAAATATAATCAATCATCTATGATGGAGGTTTTGAAAAACTTCAGCAACGAAAACTGAAATCATTGTTTCTTCAAGGAAGTAAAACTCATGTCCCATGCTTTGTGAAGCAATCACCCTTCTAACTGCTGACACAGGTTGCAACATAAACGCCTTGCACAAACCCTTGGCCTTCGCACAACACGGGTTCCAGGCAGGATCGCTGGTGGTTGATATTGTACACGGACTAGATAGACATCTTCTTTTCAATTCAACGTTTAATATAGAGACGTAATCATACTCACAAGGAGGCCTGAAACATCAGAATACTTCTTAGCTGGTTTAAAGGATGGAGGAGCATCAATACTGAAGTCTGCAAAAAAGAGAAAAAGATGACTACACGGGCCTTAAGGCCTTCTGATTCCTTCTCTTCCTTTCTAAAATAATGTTGATCATATCCCTGAAATTTTCCTCCTTGCTTATGTATGTGCAGAATTTCCTGGAGGTTAAGTAGAGATGGGAGGAATCTTAGAAGTGGTGCAGTACGTCATAGACCAAGTGCTAGCTCAGGGGCTAGCCCTGCCCCATCACCAGGGACTCTGCGCTAGCAGAACTGCCGGAGTGCTCAGCTGCCCACAAGTGGCTTTTACAGGTCTAGGCTACATGGGCTGATGGTGATGAAGTGCCAAATAGCCATGGACCGGATCTGAGCTCCCAGACTCCCGCACATCCACACCCTACTGACTACCTGGCTTCCGTGACACCCATCTGAGTCACCCTCATGAGAGATGCCCAACAGGACAGGAAGCAGAGGGATCTTTGAACCTGTACTTCCCAGTGATGCTGAACAGAATGTCTGAGGGCATTTCAGATTGATTTGGACATCCTGAATCAGAAAGTGTTTACTCAGAAAGGCTCTGGCCAGAGAGCAAAAGCACTGGCCTCTCAGCTGGTCACTGGAAACCCTCATAAATCTGGCATTAGACTTGGATCACTTGGTTTCTGGAAACAGATTTTAAGAATAGGCTTTTGAATAAGAAGTTTGTCTAATAAAAATATCAATATTAACATATCAGAATGTTTCTCCTGAATGGAATTCCACAGTGACACTAAAAATCACATACCCCTGACCACACAAACACAGTCAACACAGATAATGGCTAACAGAGAAAACCCCCACATAATAACCCTTGATTGAAGCCACTATAAAATTTTCAGGCTGAAAGCTCTTTCCTACAATAATATGAACCCAATAAAATAACGTAGGTTTGTGTAAGAAGGTTACTGGTCTAAGCATTATGAACACATGGAAGGCTCCAGCCAGCTCACAGTTAGGATCATTCAGTTGCCAAGGCAATGCCCTTTCAGCGGCGAGAATTTGTTTCAGGTTCTTCCAGGTTCTGTTCTTCTTGCCAGCTACTGCACCACCATGGCCAGAGTGCTCAAATTGAAAACATGGATTAGAAGAAATAAAAATCAATAGTACTATTTCAGAACAGACATTTACACTTAATCTTGTCATGTACCTCTCATTCTATCAGTCATCCCTTGTACCCAAGACCTTTCTTTTTTCTTTTTCTTTCTTTCTTTTTTTTTTTTTTTGTACTGGGAATTGAACTCAGGACCTTGCACTTGCCAGGCAAGTGCTTATTCTACTGAGCTATCTCCCCAGCCCCAGAGACCTTTCTAAACAAGTATTTTAAAGGGCTGGTGCGATAGCTCAGTGGACTAAGTGCTGCATGTACTGCATGCAGTGCCAGTGAAATCAGGCGTGGTGGTGCACACCTGTAATCCCAGCACTGGGGAGGATCACTAGAGTCTGAGCTGTGTAATAAGACCCTGTACCAAATAAGTATATAAATAAAATATTTTTCAAAAAAAATGAAAGGGAGGCCAAGTGTGGTGGCATGTGCCTGTGATCCCAGCACTCTGGAGGCAGAGGCAGAATTGCCATGAGTTCAAGGCCAGCTTGGGATACAAATTGAGCTCAAGGCCAGCCTGAACTGCATAGTGAGACCCTGTCTCAAAAAGATAAAATGGGGAGCCAGCAACATAGCTCAGCAGACTAAGTTCCTGCTTTGGCAAACGCAGGGCCCTGAGGTGCGCTGAGCCGGAGACCAAGTCCAAGCGTGGTGGCACATGACTGTAATCCCAGTGCTGGGGAGGCTGAAAACAGGAGGATCACTATGAGTCCAAGCTATGTAGTGAGATCCTGTGCAAAATACATTAAAAAAAAAAAAAATCAAGGGAGAATTTATTCTATTTCTGCTTCCCAGTACCATAATTTAGGTTTACTTAAGAAAACTACTGGGGACCACTCTTAAATATTTCAAGCTTCATCTAAAACTTACAGAAAACCAGTAAAGAGGGAAGGAGAACAACCACTGTGGAAATGACGTACTCCCCAAACACTACTCTTTCAAGAGCTCCATGCAGGGCACCAAGTCCTCGGGTCCAGCCCACAGGGAGATGAACAAGAAGGGACTTCCTTCTCCCATCCCCACCTTCCCAACACAGTTCTCGAGAGAAGGTGGCAATGTGGAAAGCAAAAGAAGAGGACACCACAGCCACCTAGCCTACAGTTCCGCAAACTCAAAGGACAAAGTGTGTTTGCTTATTTATAGACTACCTTAGACACTTACCACAAAGTTGGGATCCTTAAATGGCAAAGGTTTGGCAGCTTTTTCCACAGGGCCTGTGCTAAACTCAGAGGACACCACTTTATTGTCACTCATGGCTTCCATGCTGATGCCCTTAAAACACAGTAAAAAGTTTGAGGTCAATTTCTTCTGGGTTCGTTACTTCTGCTCATAACAAGACAGGACATGCAAGGGAAGACTGGTCAGCCATTGCGTCAGCAGCAGTGGGTCCCAGAGGAGGTTCTGCCAGCTCAGGAGCCACAGGCAGGGCTGTGGCTGCCCCTTGTGCTGTGCTGTTGTCCCACCTGAGCTGGCTCCTTTAATTCTGAAAGCTGCTACAAAGGAGGTGCGACCCTCTGCACTTTATTAGAAAAGAAAATGAGGCTCAGGGTGATGGGCTCAAGGCCACAGGGTACTTGACCTTCCGATTCCAACCCCATTTCCCTCACACCACACCATCCTGCTCCTGCTGATCTTGTTAATTGTGCCTTACAATATTAAGGCAAAAAGGGCTGGCCCTGAGAACCGGGGCTGCAGCTGGAATGCGAAGGGCACTGTAGGACATGGGCATTCTGAGAAAGGAAAACGGAGAGGAAGCTACAGGGCCACAGGTCAGCTGGCTGCAGAGAGCCTTGACCCGCAGGCTGATGCGCTTCAGAAACTTTTACGCTAACACTCAAAGGCACAAAGAAACGACTTCTCGTTCTTAATACAATTCTAATCTTCCTAGGCTACTTTTGAAAATGCTGAGACACAACTTATATCCAGTGAGGTGCGTGATCTTATGTGTAGCTCTCCTGAGTTTTCTAAATGTTTCCTTTACCTTAATCCAAATCCTGACCATGATAGGGAACGCTTCTACCATCCCAGAGTTCACTCGTGCCCTTTCCTGATCAGTATGTCCAGGCCGCAGGTGCAGCCAGTGCTTTGACGTCTACCACGTCTGTTCTAGAACCTCACATAAATAGAATTTGACAGCACGTGGTCCTTGACTTCTTCAGCTCAGCATAGGGGCATACTGATGGATGGCGTTTGTTACACGCATCAGCCGTTTCACTGAATTGACCCACTATTCAGTGGAGTAGAATTCCACTATACTTACATGCTAACATTCATCCATTTCCTGTTGATGTACGCTTGGTTCATTTCCAGGGTAGAGCCATTATAAATAAAGCTGCCCTGATGTGTTTTTATTTTTCTTGAGTGAATACCCAGGAGGAGAGTGATTAAATTATTAGTGAGTATGTATTGAATTTTATAAGGAGACTGTGTGTGTGACTGCACACATGTGCACCCCTCCCCGTCCCCTCCGTGGGATCTGTGGGGGGAGTGGGGCACTAACTGTGGTGTGACAGCTCTTGGAAAGGGTTTCCCAAATACCATCCCAGAGTCCTCTCCAGGGTGTCACCGCATAGGCCTGTGCTCTAGCCAAGAAGTCTGAAACCTGTGCTACTGCTTCTCTGATCACACTGCCACCTCTGTCTGCGTGGACTCTCCCGTCAGCCTCCCTCAATCCACAGTCTCTCCTGTCATTAAGGAAAACCTGTGGTTACACTGAAATTGTTCTTTTAAGAGGTAGTGGTCCAGGGGCACAGAAGAAAGACCAGGCCACTGACCAGAAGGGGAAGGAGGAGGAGAGGGAGGAGGGAGAGAAGAAGGGAAGAGGAGGAGGTCTGAGGAGACTTGCCAGTGTTAGAAGAAACTGTTACAGTTTGTGTCTAGATGCCCCCCAAAGCTTTACGCATTTTTAGGTAAGGCTTTTTCAGAGGTGGCTGAATCTACCTCTGGTTTGTGATGGATTCATGGTTCGATGCTGGGATCAAGGGTGCTGGGATTAAGGGTGGATGATTGCTGGATCAATCCTCTGATTGGATTGGAGCCACCCTAATCCCAGAAATCTGGATAAGATAAAAGGAACAGGAAGAGGCTTGTTTCTCTCTTCCTCTCTTGTTGCTTTTTCTGTCTTACACCATCAATGGGTGCCTCTCTCCCATGTGCTAGTCTGCCTTGCAGCCAGCTGATTATGGACTGAAACCTCCACACACTGAGAGCTAAATAAATCTTTTTCCCTTTAACTTTGGGTGTCAGGTATTTTGTCTCAGCAACAAGAAAAGTAAGACAGAGACCATTCTTCCATGTTGTTTAACTATCCATGAGGGTGTGCCGAAAGACTACTGGAAATAGACCACTGCCCTTGGGCTGTCAGAGGGCAGGCCACTGGGTGGTGGGTGCTGGTAGTATATACACTACAACTCTAAGAGCTGCCCAGCGGGCCTCATATTAGAAAAGGAAAAACAATCATCGAGAGAAAACCCAATACTTAATCCAGAGAAAACAGGCAGGATGTGAATGAGCTCTCCAGGTACCAGATACACTTCAAGTTCATCTTCATCATCTGAGTTTCCATAAAGAACGACTATGGGGCTGGCCAGATAGCTCAGCCAATTATAGCACCTGCTTAGGTAGAGTGTAGAGACCCGGTGCGATCCTGCAGGGCACGCTGAGGCTAAGATTGAGACTGGGCGTGGTGGCGCACACCTGTAATCCCAGCACTTGGGAGGCTGAAAACAGGATGATCACTATGAGTCTGACCTGTGTAGCGAGACCCTGTAGACCCTGCACTAAATAAATAAATAAATAAACAAACAAACAAATAAATAAATAAAGCATGACTACGGATACAATACTATTTCCATCTGGCAGAAACAAACTAAAGTGCCACAGAAGTGAAGAGGAGGCTCTAAAGGACAGAGGGATCTAAGCCTTAAGACCACCAACAGGACTACAGGTACGCCCCCTGCCACAATGTGCTCAGCTCCAAGGGCCCATCCTCAGGGCGTGCAGCCAGCTTTTAATTCTACTCTAGAAATGCCACAAGACTATATATCTCCCTTTCTGTTTATTTCTCTTCCGTGATTGATCCTGGGGAAGTGCAAAGCTGCTGAGTACCCAGCCGGGGAAGGGATGCCGGGGATTCCACTGACCCAGGCTGTCGTGTCCCAAGGGCCCAGGAGAACGGTCTGGAAGCAGTACCTGCTGAGATTCAGGCAGGTGAGCTTCTCTGAGGCCACTATGAAAAGCAGGTACTACAGCCAGGCAGCACTGCCTGGACAGCCGGAAGTTCTGCTGTGGGAGAGGCACACGCCAGACACATGTGCTGACAGCAGGGAAGGGTGGCAGGAAGAGAGCCAGAAGTCAGCCTTGCCAGGCACAAGCTAAAGAGCCAAGAAGGGAGTGAAAATGACGCGCGGAGCATGTTTTGTTTTTGTTTGTTTTTCTAATGCATCTCTGTGCTGAGAAGCTCTCCCTGTCCTCCATGCAGCCCCTCTCAGCAGCCTGGGCACCCAGAAATTAAAGGAAAAGCCCAGAATGGAAATCGCCCTGACACCTCCAAAGGCTCCTGTCTGAACGGAGTGCTCTTTTGCTTCTCAAAGCAGATACACTGTCTCAAGGCCCAGAACTGGTTTTCTTTCCATCTTTCCTTTTCAACCCCACTCCCACACTGCTGCAACTCCACCTCGTTCCTCCCTTCCCTTCGGCTGTAGTCCAGCTGTGACTCCTGTGTCTACTAATGACAGGATGAAAGGGAGAAACCCTTAGTCAAAAGGAACATGAAGTTACAAAGCTCACATGCAATGAAATAAAATTGAAAATGATGTATAGTTTCCATATTACGAAAGTATTATTAACACTAACAGACTTTACGAGATGAACTGTCCAGGCTCAAGTCACAAACGCCCTAAGGAGAGGACAGGAAGTAACGTCTCGACTAAGGCTGTGATTTTTGGTGGTACCAGGCAGCACTTAAGCTACAGGCCCAGCCCTTTTTTTTCATCATCAGACAGGGTCTTGATAAGTCGCCCACGTTGGCCCAGAACTTGCAACCTACCTCCCTCAGCCTCGCTGGCATGACCTGCTGTTAAAGCAGCACGTGCTTGTCACCAACAGATTGGAGTCAGCAAACTGGGGGAGGGGGCTCCTCAGGCTACAATTGCAGAGCCCAAATAAGTGGTGTAGTCTCTCCAAACAGCAGCCTGCATGACTTGGACTCAGACTTCAGGTCAACTTAGGCCTTCTGTCTGTGGTTACAAAAAACAGAAAAGTGTCTTTGGTCTTGTCCCTGAAAAATCTAACACCAGCCATATCTGTCAAATAGTATTCTAGAGTTGAAAAAACAGTTGACTCTAGTTTAAAACTAGAGATACAAGGATTACTTAAACTGACAAAAAGCCAGGGATGGTGGCACACACCTGTAATCCCAGCACTTGGGAGGCAGAGGCAAGAGGATCAGTGCAAGTTTGATGCCAGTGAGTTCAAGATCAGCCTAAACTACATAGCAAGATCCTGTCTCAAACAAATAATCCCCAAAACCAAAAAAAAACACAAATAACTCCCCAAAGCTGGCATAAATAAGAACATCTAATTCCTTAGACTATAATGAAGAAATTATTCATAAAAAGCTAATTAGATTTTGTAAAATCTGATTGAGAAGACTATCAATACAGAGCCATGTTCCAAAAATGCTGCTATGCAAAAAACAGGCAAACAATGTTATACACCAAGAACATTTAAAGAACTACATCTTCCTGTGGAAAGAATAACATAACCAAGATTACTTTTTTGGTTGTTGTTACTGGTGACCAAGACCCGGGCCTTCACACTGCACTACAATTCCCAGTCTTTTTTGTTATATTTTATCTTAGCCACTAAATTGCCCTGGATAGGCTTGCACTTGAAAACCTCTTGGGGCTAGGGAGATGGCTCAGTAGAATAAGCGCTTCCCTGGCAAGTGCAAGGGTCTGAGATCAATCCCCAGTTCTGTCCCCCCGCCAAAAAAAAAGAAAAAGAAAAAAGAAAGAAAAAAATCTCCTGCCTCCGCCTCCTAGAGTGCTGGGATTAAAGGTGTGCACCACTACACCTGACTCTATCATGATTTCTTTTGAAAGTTAGGTCTGAATGATTATTTTTTATTCTTATTTTATTTATTTTTTTACGTATTTTAGTACAGGATCTACAGAGTATCTTACACACATCAGCCTCACAGCCATGCTCCTGTTTTCAGTCTCCCAAGTGCTGGGATTACAAGTGTACTACCACGCCCAGTCCCAATTGCA